TTGGGGGAAGGCTTTATTTTTTGTGGAATTTACAACCAACTTTTAGGTTTCCAATTCAAAATTATATTTAGAAGTTTTTTTTTTCAAAAATCAGGTGATAATTTAGCTTTTAGATATTAATAATATTATAAAATTAAATTAATATATATATATACACTAATTTATAGTCCATCCCATCTCATTCCACCCGATCAAATTTCACTCTCACATCCTAATTATTTTTCTCTTTGTCACTCTCTCTACTCTATCCCACCCTAACTTGCCTAAGAGAGCAGAGCTCTTTCTCATTCTTAGATGGAATTATCTGCTCTTTTGATACTTGCGGATTACTTTGTTCTATTCTATATCCTCATTCATGCATCTAAGAGAGCAGCTACCTCTTGACTTTCAACCTACGATCGAAGTCAAGGACTTGACTGGATTGACCGCACTGATTGGATTGCTTTCCTCGTCTAAATAGCAGAAGGAGGCATTATAGAATCCTACCAAGAATCGGCATTCCTGCTTTCAAAGAGACGATTTGTGAACAGACAGGAGAGAGGCTTACCTACTTTCTAAGAAGGACAGACAGGAGGGCATTGCTTCCCTGGTTTGCTTACCTAGAATGGAAAACTGAAGCGCTTCACTACACCTCAACCCTCTATTCTCTCTCCTCTCTATTTTGGCTTCCCTTCCCACATGCACAGGGACACCTCGATGCGTAGTACATCGGTGCTTCGTTAAGTGCAGCGATGCCTCTTTGCTGGCCACACCGCTGCTCGTAATGCCACCTGCAATGTAGTGGGTGGTTTTTTGTTTGATCTGCAACGTAGCTAGAGTTTTAGGTGGTTTTTGTTGATGCTAATTAGTGTTTTGCAAATAGTAAGTGATGGCGATGGTGATGGCACTTGTGGTGAGATGGTGTGGTGGTAACGACAACGATGGTGGTCACAAATTGTGGTGGTGCAAATAGCGACAGTGATGGTTGTGAGGTGTCGCAACATTCAGGTGGTGTCGGTTATATTTGTAATCGTGAATTATAATTTGTTAAGTTTTGACCAATTAATTCGATAATTTATAATCGAGAAATAACTTGTTACCAATTAATCTGATAATTTGTGATCGTGAATAAGTTGTAACTTATAAAATTTGTAATTTGTGACCGAGAAATGATATGTGACCTATTAATTAAATTATTTGTGATCAATAAATAAATTGTAAAATTTGAGATTTGTGATCAAGAAAAATGCATGACCAATTAATTTGACAATTTATGATCGATAAATAAGTTATGACCTATAAAATTTGTAATTTGTAACTGTGATATTTTTAGATTGTGACTAGTAAATGATTGTAACAAAAAATTATATAGTATAGCGACCTTAATATATTTAATTAATGGAATGTTTTCAATTATCTATTTTGAAATTGTATCTTTTAACGACATGTAATGTGTATTGTTTTCTTATTTTTGTAGTGTGTAATGGGTCCGTTTTGCAAAACATTTACTTTTGCTTTTACTTTTTGTAGAAGAGCTTATGAAGGAAAGCTATCTACTTTGAAATTGCACCTTCTAACGATCTTAAATGTGTTTTTCCCCTTATTTTTGTAGTATAGAACAAGCTCATTTGATATGACTTTTACTTTTGCTTTTATTTTCTTTAGAAGAGTTTTTGAATGAAACTATCTTAATTTTTGTTTTAAGACTAACTTTAACAAGATATTCCTATTCCAGAAGTATTTTTAGATAAAATCACATTTGATCAACTCTCTAGAAACTATTCTAACTAGAAGAAGGACTTTTATAATATTAGTCAAAGAAGTCCAAAAGTAAATTTTGAATATCAAAAACTCATTTTGACTTTTCAAAAGTCATGTCAAACAATCCATTTTAGAGCAGGAAAAAAGTGGATTGAAACGTAGCAACCGATGTAAATAATTATTAAGGTTAGTCATAATCAACATTTAAATAGTAACATTTTTATTTGGTTTCAAATGCTTTTCAATAGTCAAAACTAAATCGAAACATTTAAATGGTTTTCTTTCAGTTCAAAACCTAAACATTGAGGGGTTCACATGGGCCAAAGTCAACGTTTCCAATTTGATCATGCGGTTTGACAATTTTTTTCCAACCGAATAGAAATTGTTTTGTTGGTATTATTTAGACTTATACCTAATAGAGTTGATCCTTTCCCACCTCCTTATCCCCTCTGTAATCTGTTCATTTTTAGTATGCGAATCTTTGCAATCAATAATCATCTCCTCCTCCTTCAAAACCCGTGTTTTGGCTCGAAAAAAATAACCCAAGTTTTTTATTTCTAGGGACAAAACAAAGTCTTCCTCAAGAAAAATCAGATTTTTGCATTTGACCCAGAATCGAATGAATGGATCAAACTCCTAGTCTCAACATCCCTTTTGTCAAAAGACTTGTTTATTGGTTCCAATGGCTTTTGCTTCACTATCACCATAGAAAATTTCAGTTTCAAACTAGTTTTAAGTGATTCCTGGAGCCAAACAAGTCCTATCAAATTTTCCAAGTATAATACCCTAATTGGGTGTACAATGTTGGTAAAAGTTGGAAACTTCCCAAGTTTATTGTCATAGGTCGGTTAAGGTTCAATGATCTTGAGGATCGTTTGGCTACTGAAATATGGGACAACTTTGAAGATGGCTGGTAGATTCTTCCTATTTTTCATAATAGCCTTTCTTATTAAAAGTACTATATTGCCCTTAA